AACCATAGAGGGCGCAAAATTAAGTGGGCCGAAATCCGGACACAATCAGTCTTTGGGGTAGGTTAGGTCAATGATTTCGGCTGAGTCCCGCCCAACCGATTTTAGAAAGTCACGCCCCTGTCACTGATGCATCAGATCCAGACTTCTTCTCGTCTCCTGTGTGTCTTAAGCAGTCTTCAAGGCATTCACAGTGACCCGCGTAGCTTCAGTCCAGCCAGTAGCAGTGCCACTGCATTAAAGACTGTGCTTCGTTTTTTTCTCATACTTTCTGCGCTCGGCGGCCGCAAGCGTTATTACACGCTGAGACACAGAGCAGTCCCCTTGAAATAGCCCGGTCCTGTCACGCAGGCGCGGCCCGATCCGGCAGCTGATGACGACGCTATGGGTCGGGGAAGCAAAGTTTGCCAATCACCATGCCCAACAGAATGGCGTAGTAGCTCCCTCCATCCTTTTGACCGCCTAGTAATATCACGTTATATTGCGACTCGTGAAACAATTTCGATATCAGTAGATGGCGACCCCCTTGTGCTGCCCACTACGTCAATATATGTATATATATATATATATATATATATATATATATATCTGTAATATATATATCTATATCTATATCTATATGTTTATTTATGCGTGTGGGGGGATATGTGTTTGTGTGTGCATTAGTTACGTCTCGAAAGATATTGCTGGACAAAAAAAATTGCACGCATCAGATAAATGATGAGAGATACCGAGCACCAATGCTAAGTTGTTCAATGCATTAGCAAGAAACATTATTCACATAGATAAGACAGTCGTAACAGCCTTATTCCTCGGAGAATAACCAGGAAGTGGAGATATGGTTGGGTTGATATTTCAGCAACATGCCTTCGTTGAAACAATAACTGAAGTGACTTCTACTATGTTTCGATAAAGGTATGTCGCCGAGATACCAACCCAACCTTATTTCCATTCTCTTGGTTATTCCCCGAGGAACAAGGCTATTACTACTGTCTGCTCTATGAGCACCAACCCTAGTTAATTAACGGAACGAGGAATAGCCCCAAAGCTTGTCACGTGGCCCAGACTAATTTCGCCTGTTAAAAGCGCCATTGCCTCTTTTGCGTCACATACACCATAATTATGGCTTAGATGCGTTTAGTGTAACTTATATTGCCCCAGCGTTCAACGTTTCCAGTGTGCGATACCTCGTGTGGTACGCTTAAGGCCTCGGTGCGAGGCGTATTTGTGCTGCCAATAACAGAGCTTCAGTAAAGACACAATGCTTCCGTCCTGTTGTTTTCTCAAGAGAAAGGCTTTTGTCAAGGATGTCTGACCATTCACCGGAATCGAGTCCAGACACAGATCTCAGAGAGCAGGTGACCACGAAAAAGAAGAAAAGACTCTACACACCACGAACGCGAACGAGACGCATTATAACTGCCGGGCCTTCTCAGAATCCTGAAGTTCCAATAGCCGAGTCCGATCTACTCGACTTCAGAAACCGCGTTTCACCACCACTGCCGCGAGGGGAATTGCAAGCATTACCTAAGGAGTCACAAAACCTGACATCAGAATATGACGCATCGTGTGAGTCTCTCGACATAAAACATCCCGAACTAGAATCCCGAGACCCCACGGAGTCGGAAGCGACGCTGACCCCGGCGGGATTGCGATGTCAGGAAAGTATCGTGAACGACGACCCACAGGAGGGACTACCTCCGAATACAAATGTCCACCTCTCCTTTGACGCTGGGTACTTGGCATCTTCTGATTCACAGTCCGCCTCAGACTTTCGCACAGTTGTGGAAAAATACACCCAAGACCCGGACGTTGCACAGTGGAACCAGAACAGAAATCCAGAGATTCGGATTCATCATCAAATCATCTACGACCGATTCCCTGATGGTCTGGCAGCTTTTGCGGCCAGGATTGGCCTGAGTGCTGTGCCACCAGTGGATGGCGTACCTGAAACTGGCATCGAACCGGAGAGTGCTCGACAACGCTATCGCGAGGTCGGCCAGACCAGCTCGGGCGGCAGCATGATGGACAGTTCGGTGTCCGTGAAGCAGGAGCCGGATAATGAGCCGGCGGCCCCTACAGACAGCCGCAGCGATGTCTCGGCCAACCACATCGACGCACCGTACGACGAGGGCTTCGAAGCCATGCTAATCACGCGCATCCAGAACCGGATCCGAGAGCTAGGCGGCATCGGCGAGTACGACCTCTCCGACCCGACCGACCTTACTCCCGCCGGCCGCCAGGTCAAGCAGCGGTTCGGCTTCCTCATCCAAGACGGCAGCGACGACGAGCAGGCCGGCCCGCCGTCCGTGCTGAAGAGCCGAGAGCGCGGTCGGCGACGACGGCGGCGCGTGCCCGACTGGATGCTGACGGATGTGCCGTCGGACGAGACGCTCCGGACCGACCCGGCCGCCCAGTCGTCGGCCACGTCGGTCAGCTCAGAGCCGCCGTTCGCTGCCACGCACCCGCCGCGCCGCTACGTCGGCTCGCCCGAGTCCGAGAGCGAGCTGTCGGCACTGCGCGACGTCCGCGCCGAGGGCGGCGACGAGTTCGTCGAGGCGGTGCTCTGGCGGCTCCAGGAGAGCCTGCGTGCCAGCCACAACTTCCGCGAGTACCGCGACTCGGTGGCGCGCAAGAGCGACTACGAGCGCCGCGCGGAGCGGCACCACCAGGACACGGCCAGCGACGACACGGACGAAGAAAGCAGCAGGAGCAGCGCCGGTCGCGTCCACTTCCAGAAAAAGGTGCTGGTGCGTCCACTCGGCAAAGACCCGCTGCTCACCGAGTACCGGCGGCCTTACTCCAAGGTCTCTAAACAAAAGCTCTCCGCCGTCAAGGAGTACAACCCTGAGCCAGATGACCCGGACTACGAGGACTCGCTGAAGGACAAGACAGAGGCGGAGGCCGCGAAGGCGGCGGCTGCAGCGGCGGAGGCAGATCAGACGGATGCTGCTCCGACGACGCCGCCGACCGCGCCGGCACCAGCGCCCAAAACGCAACCGGGATGGAAGAAACTATTCGTAATTATCTGCTTTATTTCTGAGTGAGATTGGTTCTTCAAGCCGCAATCAGCAGCCACAGCGTTTAGTATTCATGTTGCTTTGGCGGTAAATTGCACCCGTAGAATGCATGCGGGGAAGGGTGATATCGTAACATATCAGCGTAGGGGGATCTAAATGTACGGATTGAGACCCTAAAATCTCGCGTTTCTCACGCTTTTTTGAGAGCATGCTGGATACAACAAAAACATTCCTTCAGCTAATGCAATCCGAAATTTATTCCAGAACATGCACCGACGAGCATTTGTCCGGATTGTTTCAGTGTTGTGTTGGTGGGGCGGAGGAACCAGCCGCCAAAGCTCCACCTCCTCCAAAGCCTGCAGCTGCACCACCAGCTCCACCAGGCTCCACCAGCTCCACCAGCTCCACCAGCAAGTTGGCAAAACAACCTGAAGTGAAACGAAAGAGACGCAAAGTCAAGAGCCTGCAGGTGAAGGACTTGGACCCGGACACCCCCAACGAAGAGCTCCGGACGCTCCACATGATGTTTGACGACCAGCTGGAGCTATGCAAGCTGACCGATCCGGACACGGATCCAAGTCTAGACGACCCGTCAGAGCTGTCGGACCCCGACTCTGAGCACGAGACGCCCTGTTTCGCGGACTTTCTCAGAGCATGCGGACTCCCGGATGCAAAGGTCGACGACTATATGAAATACTACAAGACTCACAAAGGTAAGGAATGATTATGGTCCATAATGGTCTGGTCACAAAATATCTTAAACGCATTTAAAGTAAGAATTCATGTCTGGCTTTATTCCGTTTCGTTCTATAAACAGAGTTTCAACCATTTGTCGCACTTATGCACCATGGGCCGTGCAACGATCACAACGGGCGGCTGTGTCTGGCCTTTGCCAGGCACGTCAAAGATTCTGAGCTCGTAATGGAACTCGGTGCGGGTGAACAAGGGTAGTCACCCATCATATGTAGGTAAGGGTTTTCTTTAAACCTGAATGCACTTGGCACTCGCCGAAGTGCATGAACGTGTGGGCAGCACATTAGAAGTGCAAGTTAACAGCTATCAGATCGTTTTAAAAACCCAAACCAGATGCATTACCATGCGGATAGTCTGCTCTACAGAGCGGTCAGAGCCTTCAAACTACCAAGTCCGTATCCAATAGAGGCCCGCGTCCCCGTCCGGGAGCGCTGAGCCTTCTCGCCCCGGCAGGACTGACCGACAGCGGCCACGGCGACTGGGCAGGCACGGGTCGAGGCTCGAGTGACCGGCCGTCCAGCGCCAGCAGCGGGGACGACCCCAGCTGGTGGGATAAACGCGCCCGCGAGCGCCGTCAGGACTACCGGCGCAAGCGGCGCGAGCACCGCGAGTACCAGCGCCAGATCGAGACCCAGCGCGACCTGGAGGTGGGAGAGCCAGTTGCGGCCGCGCGCTCGAGACGCAGCGCGAGCTGCTGCGTGAGCGCGAGGTGCAGCGCGAGATCGAGCGCACGCGCGAGTCCAGTAAAGAGCGCAAGGAGCTGCCACCTGGAGGAGGAGGTGCTGGAGAAGGAGCTGCTACGGCGGCTGTTGGCCGAGCTGCAGAACGAGCAGGTGCGTGCCAGGGATCGCGAGAAGCGTAGGGTGGTGGCCAGGGTTTCTGGAGGAGGAGCTGATCACGAGGCTACGACTGGAGCTGGCGAGGCTGCGGGAGAGGAGCGAGGAGCGGAAGGGAGCATATGTGCCACGCAGCTGCTCGAGGAGGAGGCCAACACCCGCGAGCTGAACAACCGCATCGAGGAGCTGCGCAGGCGGATGGAAGAGAACAAGATTCTGAGGGATTATGAAAGGGACGAGGAGCAGCAGAGACTCCAGCTGCTGGAGGAGCTTCTCGTCAAGGAAAGGCGACGAATGGACATTCATGATGCCCAGCGCCCTGAAAGAGCAGGACTTGGAGGAGGCGGACAGAGATCTCCTGATGGACATTGAGACTCAGTCCGGGGAGGATGAAGCGAAGAGTCAAAAGCGTACGAGGAATGCGCAAGGGAGGTTGTGAGGAAAAGTGAGGAGCATAAGGCAATACGTTCAAAGCTCACTGGTGAAATTCGCAAAAGAGAGTTGGTCAAGCGCAAATTGATCTCACTTCAAGATATTGAAAAGACAAACCCACGGCTTTTCCAGTTGGCCAAAGTAATGGAACAGGTCAGCAACGAAAAGGGTTGCGTTGAGCTGGAGTACGATGAAACTGCGTCCTCTTCTGGAATTCTGAAAAAGGAAAAGCATGTCTGAGGGTGAAGGGATAGCGGACCAAGAGCAAGGGCACCAAACAAGACTCGAAAACCGACGGGGAAGCAAACCGATGGTGAAGCGGGGGAGGGCGTGCCAGGCTTGTCAGAGGATGCGTCCGAGTCCCCTGGCGTCGAAGCGAACATCAACGAAGAGGGCGCCGCCACGGAAAAGGCTGACGATGGGGCTGAACAGTCTGCCGAGGCTGCCGGGGACGAAGCATCTTCCAAAACCGGGTGCCCCTGACGGAGCCACCGACCAATCAAAAGACCCGGATGTGAAGGATTCCGAAAATGTAGAAACGCGTGCTCCAGTGGACGCCTCACCCGATGGCGAGTCTTCTGCCCGTCTCGAAGGGTTCGGGGGGGCCGCCGGCGAAGAGCCGACACAGTCGGTGCGGACCTGGTCGACGCCAGTCCAGCGCCTGCTGCCGATGAGACGGCTCCGACAGCTCCGGGGCCGACGGAGGCGGAGACGACGGCTCCAGGATCGTCAGACGGCACCAACCAGGCCGAGGTGCGCCCGAGGAGGCGGAGTGGCCCGCGGCTCCAGGAGTCAGCAGTGCAGGTGGCTGCGTCGGGCACCGGGGGCGGACGGGCCGGCTCGGCCGGAGCGCGCCGGCCGGTGGAGCAGGGCGGTGTGTGTGTGACGGAGGGCGCTCGTCCGAAGCGGCGCCGGCGACGGAGCAGGGCGGCGGTTCAACGGAGGGCGGCTCGCCCGAAGCGCCAGTAACGGAGCAGGGGCGGCGTTCACGGAGGGCAGCTCGCCCGAAGCGCCAGGACGGAGCAGGGCGGCGGTGCGACAGACGGTGGCCCATCTGAAGCGCCAGCGACGGAGCAGGACGGCGGTGCGGACGGGCGAAGGCTCATCCCGAAGCGCCAGCGACGGAAACAGGACGGCGGTACGACAGAGGTGGGCTCGTCCGAAACACCGGCGACGGAACAGGACGCGGAGCGACGGACGGCACGGCTGCGGTGGTAGCTGTCGTGGTTACGAAACCAGGAGGGTCTGGAGGTGGAGCAGCCGGCGGCGGCAGCCAGCCGTAGCGACGAGGTCAGCATCAGCTCTATGTCAGGCGTCAATGATCTCTATGAAATTGAGCACGGCATGAAGTAAACGTCGGCCCGGCTCAGCGCAGACGGGTCTTTTTGGCCGGTGAATATCGACAACAAATCAGGACAGTCGATCCTGCAAGCAGATAAGTCAAGCAGACTTCTCGGCAACGTCGTTAACGTGTCGAATGGCGCCCGTACCTCGTCTGTGCCCGCCCTTAGCACTGTATGCGCACACGTGATTTGTAGGAGCTGTGTGACACAAGCTGTTGACACGTATCCGCAGTTGGATTTCACGTTAGTGGTGTCCGCTCCCTGTCGTATATGATTAAAAATATCTCACTTTGTGCGGAATCGCGTTTTTCATCACTTAACATTAGGACGAAGACGAGCTGTTCCTGTCTGAATCACCGAAGCTAGAGACCGTCCGTGTATTTTGCTTAGCTCTGGATCTAACAAAGTGGCAGAGAAATTTGACACTTTCCTTGCCACATCGGAGTCGTTTCGACCAGCTGCCCGCCCCAAGATGCCACTTGCTTGAACCTTCATCCGCACTAATTTTCTGACATTCCGGTGCACCACGCCTGGTCGGTTGCCAGACCACCGTTCTGTTGGGGTCGTTGGTTGGAGACGAGGTGTGCATCGAGTGCCGATTATTGTAATTGTTGGGCCGATACAGTTTTCAACAAACGCAAGCCCGCCAATTACGGCTCAGTCGCGAGTAATAACTGAAACAATATGCTGGGGTTGTCCCAGCAGTGAAAAAGCCGCGGGTTGATCGCGATCAAGAACAGCCCTGGCCCCACCACATCACCAAGCGTGCTTCCAGGTAACATGAGTGGATTCACAGCTCGGCACGGTAGCTACTACTCTTTTTCATCGACTATACGTGGTATCTTAAATTGAATCACCCGCGCTACACTTGTATCGTCGAGGCCAGTCACGGACTTGACCTTCCCGATCGGGTGAGCGCTATCAATTAAACCAGCGGAATGCGTTCCACGCCAGTATTCGGGAGTCCGGCATAACGAGGCGCGTCGGCTACTTGGACCATTTTGGTGTTCAAGGGTTGCAAACGTGGATAACCGTGAAGCACAGGACTGATTCCAACACATACCATGCTGAGTTCCTTACTACTCATCATTGCATATCACGAGAACGGGATACCGCACTGGCGCGGTGTGATAAATGCCGGGTAGGAAAAGACAGGGCTGTCATTTTTCAATAGTATTTTGATTCTCTCCAACACCACGGCTCAGTTCAACGGTACAGCGCAAAGTGGTGCAGTTTGCCAGCCAATGGCAACTCATAGTTGGCACAAGCAAAACTGCTGGTTCGACGCTCAACACGAACGCGAAAACTGAAGAGAATGCTGCATTACAGAAACATAGACAACGCCATCCTTAAACGATAAACAAAAAGCAAGAAAAACATCATCAATGCTGTCTGTAAAATGTGACTAACCAGACAACTGCAGTATGTGCAGGTCAGAGGTTCACTAATCACCCTAACCCAACCATAGCTGCTAATACTAGCGAGTGGTGTTCTCGGGCGACCACATTCAAGAAAGGCAGCCGTGGAGACGACTGCCATGCTCCAGAGAAAAGACTGCACGAAACGCAGACACAGAATACTTAAAACAAGCGTCGAATTTGGCACCACTGGAATGAATGCCGTCGAAGGCGCCGTTGGTTGCCGGTGCGCCACTTTCACCGCGGTACAGCAACAGCACAATAATATCAGACCGCGGCAAAAGCGGTAAGGCAATCGTATCACTACAGCCGCCGTCGGCCACTGGGTCCAGCAAAGGCTTGCCGATACTGATAACATCTCCGTCAACACGGCATAACTCTCCTGAACGTAACAACAAATAAAGTGTCTCGCCATGGGCAGCCTGGAGAACAGACTTGTGCCTTCCATTGTCTGGCCAGCCCGCCAGCACGCCCAGTTTGCACAGTTTAGCGGCAGATCTCCGCCCCCTGTCCACACAGCTTAGCAGCGGATCTGCACCCACTGTCCGGACAGCTCAGCAGCAGATCTGCAACCGCCGTCCGTCCGGACAGCTTAGAAGCGGACTTGCACCCACTGTCCAGACAGCTAGGCAGCAGATCTGCACCCAACGTCCAGACAACTTAGTAATGGATCTGCACCCCTGTCCTGACGGCTCAGTGGCGGATCTGCACCCACTGCCCGGACAGCTCAGTAGCGGATCTGCACCCACTGTCCGGACAGCTCGTCCTTGCGGAAGTAGTGCGGCCGTCCGTCCGGGAAGATGGTGATGGCCGGGAACGGGTGCTCCTGGATGTGCTTCAGTGTGCTCCGCACCTGTGAGGCAGCCAGAGGTCACGCCACAGCACTCTCGCCCCCCCCCCCCCCCTCCACGTCCGCAGCGTCTCAGCGACAGACGCCCGGCATCCCCGGAGTGAGACCACACAACGAACGGGGGCTGACGCTGGGGAAGCTGCCCCGAACCCCACGGGCACCAGCTCGGCACCAGCGAGACAGCGCTAGAAGCGGTGTAACTCGGCGCATCGCTTCCTTCACTTCTAGACGGTCTGAGTGACAGCGATTTCAGAGTTAAAGTTAAGCCTCAGGCCATACACCAATAAAATCGCTTAAACATACCCGAGGTATCAGCAGGAAACGCCGACGGACGCCGAACACAGACGGCGTTTTCTGATGCCACCAGTGCAGACGGTCACGTCTCACCTGCATGGCGAAGTGGGGCGGCTCGACCTCGGGGCTGGTGGAGAGGTGCTGCAGCAGGAACTCGTCGCTCTGCTGCAGCCACAGGTCCACACCCCGCAGCGGCTCGTAGTTGAACGGTCCGATCCGCAGCAGGCCTTGCTGACAGTCGTAGATGTCCAGTACCTGGCCGCGCGGCCGACGGAGCGGGTTAGGTCACGACGGGCAGGTCTGGTGCGGCTCAGGCGGGTGCGGGTCAGCCACGGCCCGCACAGGGGCAGGTCAACAGCGGCCGTCGCAGGCCCTGGCGGAGCACAGGCCAGTCCGAACACAAGACGCGAAATGGGAGGCGAAAATCCTGCCAGTCTACGTGATCTTACAACGGAAACGTGCTCTAAATATGCCGCAAAACGCGGCATAAGAAACATCTTCGAAGCGACAAAAAGCACCGGCAGCGAAACACCGCTAAGCCACACAAAATCAAGCTCAGCCTATAGAGGCAGCCGCAGGCGGCTTCATTCACAGTCGCGGTCGCAGGCTGCCACCCTGCCCACCTGGTGTCCGCCGGTGTAGAAGCGGGCTGAGCGGAGGCCCAGCTCGGGTCCCTTGTCCGGGAAGGTGGCCGGAACAGCTCGCCCGTCTCCGTGTTCACGCCCACGCCGTACACACACCGGCCAGTTCATGCCAGCCCGGATGATGGTGTTGAGGGTCGCCAGACAGCAGGTCACCAGGTCCACCTCGTACGGCGACTTCTGGAACGAGTCTGCGCCAGGCGGCGAGGCGTCAGCGAGTCCTGGCCACCGGCCTGCCACACGGCCTCATACACAGCGGCACAGGCAGCGGGTCCCAGCCACCGGCCTACCACACGGCCTCATACGCAGCGGCACAGGGACTTCACTTCGTCCCTGGTCACGTGGACCAAAATGATATGCAACAGACCAGCCGTACGCCAATAGAGCTATATAT